CACATGGCACTCCCATTCTGTAGGACAAGATCCGGGCGTGGCGACACGCCTAGGTGCGGCTCCGACCGCGGCAACACCTCTTGTTTTTGCTTAACATCTTCTCCCTTTGCTCTGTGGACCAGGAAGTGTGAAGTGCAGCGTCAGGGCGCGAGCATGTAAGTGCCATCCACCTGCGATCTCCCCAGCTTCCGGTCTTCTTGACTCTGTCTTGACGCCGGTGGTGTCACATCCTTCCGAGCCGCATCCAGCAACTGGGCTTTTCGTGCATGCGCCGGCTTTCCAATCCGTGTGGTGGAAAATGAGAGAGTGCGGTAGATGCAGCACAAACCTGCCATCACTTTGAACTAACTCGCGTGCCAGTCGCCGTACCTGCTCTCACCTCGCTGTGGACCAAACGCTGTGCATCGTAGGAAACGACGGTCAAACTGTCGTGGTGTTTATGTGTGTGTGCGTGTGTGGGGTGTAGGGGTGTCAGCGGTGGGTTCATGTGATGGTCGTAGTGGTCGTTCACTTGCTTGCAGGTAAGACTACGCCTAGCGTCCATTTGCTGGCACCCAACTCTCACCTGTGGCTGCATGTAGATGGTCACTGCTCAGCGGCCACACCCCGGGCAACCGCCTCGACCGGCGGGCTTAACCAGGTGAGGGTATCCGTGCGTGCACCTGCACACGCGGTACTTGGTCTCCGCTGGCCGGATGGATCTTCGCGTCGACGTCGTCGAGACGAGGCTCTGCCTGGACCATCGCAGGAGGCCACCAGGTAAGTTCTTCTTCAGGTAAGTGAATTTGCTTTGTTTGTTCCTTTGTCTGTTGAAGTTCCATGTTGTATGCTGCTCATGTTGTCTGTCCTCTATATATTAGTCTATCTGTTAACATCTACATGAAACTCTTGATGCCTGCTGCGACTGTTTTTCTGTCTGTCAGTCTATGCCTCTCTGCTAACAGCTAGGTGTTACTGTGCTTGACTTTGAATGATGCCTCCTACTTCTGTCTCTGACTGATGACTGTGTCTGCCTGTCCATTGTAGCCATAAGTCCCATAGCATTCTGGTGGTGTGTTTGCTCTCTCCTACTTAACTCCACCACATCACCACCAAGGCCCCAGTCTAACTCGGGTAGTTCTCTCACTAACAAAAGTCGTGGCCCATTGTGGAGTCCGGCAGCCGTCTGTGACAACCGGGTAGTCCTATTTAGGGGGTGCGCTGCCTGCCCTCGCGAGGGGGAGGGAGTTAGAATAGGCGCCCTAGAAATTGCTTGGAACAACGCTGTCTGTAGGCTGGCCGTGGCCGCAGACAAAAAACACACGGTCGAAACAGCCTAAACCGAAACAACAAAAACAGCAATCTCTCTCTTCCGCTTCCAGCCTATTCTTCTTCTCCTCCTCCTACTTTTCGCCGTCGCAGTCACCAGACTGGCAGAGTGAGTCCGCTCAAACTGGCAGCCTGGAATGTTCGTTCCCTTTTTGACAATCCGAGGAGCAACCGACTGGAACGGAGGACGGCGCTAGTGGCACGAGAACTGGCGCGCTACAAGGTGGACATCGCCGCACTCAGCGAGACCCGTTTCTCCGAACAAGGCCAACTGGAGGAGGTGGGTGCCGGCTACACCTTCTTCTGGAGCGGTCGGCCCAGGGCAGAGCGACGGGACGCGGGCGTCGCCTTTGCCATCCGGAACGATATCATAGGACGACTGCCCTGTTTACCGCAGAGCATCAACGATCGCCTGATGAGCCTCCGACTGCCTCTCCGACGGGGGGGCAACTTCGCCACCATCATCAGCGCCTACGCTCCGCCGATGAGCAGTCCCGACGCCGTCGCAAGCGACAAATTCTACGAGGACCTGCACGCCCTCTTGGCGACTGTGTCGAAGGCGGACAAGTTGATTGTCCTTAGTGACTTCAACGACCGCGTCGGCACAGACCATACTGCCTGGAGAGGAGTGCTGGGTCCCCACGGTCTCCGCGGCTCAAACGACAACGGCCTGCTGCTGCTCCGCATCTGCGCAGAACACCGCCTCATCCTGACGAACACGTTCTTCTGTTCGCCGGAGCGAGGGAAGGCCACCTGGAGGCATCCTCGGTCGCGTCAGTGGCACCTGCTGGACTATGTCCTCGTCCGGTGGCGAGATCAGCGTGACGTGCTGGTGACGAAGGCGATCGCGGGTGCTGACGGGTGGACCGACCATCGCCTCGTCATCTCGAAGATGCGTATTCGCCTACAGCCTCGCAGGAGACCCCAAGGTAAGCGACCCCCAGGTAAGCTGAATGTTTCTTTGTTGTGTTTACCCGCTCACCATCTTCATTTCAGCAATGAGCTAGCTCGACGGCTAGACAACCTTCCTATCGCTGCCGCCGCCGACGACGCCGCCGCTGCCGAGAACGCCTCCGTGGAGAACCGCTAGTGCCAACTGCGAGACACGATCCAGTCGACGGCGCTAGCCGTCCTTGGTCGCGCTCCCCGCCAACACCAGGACTGGTTCGACGACAACGACGCCGCCATCAGAAATCTGCTTTCTGAGAAGAACCGCCTACACAAAGCCTACGTCGATCACCCCACTGACGACAACAAAGCTGCTTTCTACCGCAGTCGCCGCCACCTCCAGCAGCGACTGCGCGAGATGCAGGACGTCTAGACTGCTCGCAATGCTGAGGAGATCCAAGGCTACGCGGACCGCAACGAATGGAAGAACTTCTTCTCTGCGATCAAAGCTGTCTACTGTCCGCCGACGAAGGGCACTGCTCCTCTCCTCAGCGCCGACGGTAGTACTATCCTGACTGAGATGGCACAAATTCTACAGCGATGGGTCGAGCATTTTCGAGGTGACCTCAACCGCCCTTTCGCCATCTCCGACGTCGCCATCGCCCGTCTGCCGCAAGTGGAGACCAACGCGGCCCTCGATCTCCCGCCATCTCTCCAGGAAACCATCAGGGACGTGCAGCAGCTCTTCAGCGGGAAGGCACCCGGATCGGACGCAATCCCTGCTGAGGTCTACAAGCACGGAGGTCCCCAACTGATGGATCACCTGACTGCGCCCTTCCAGGAGATGTGGCGTCAAGGTGAAGTCCCGCAAGATTTCAAGGACGCCACCATCGAGCATCTCTACAAGCGCAAAAGGAACCCTCAAGTCTGCGACAATCACCGTGGAATCTCCCTGCTGAACATCGTCGAGGAGATCTTCGCTCGCATCCTTCTCAACCGCCCCAATTACCATCTCGAACAAGGCCTTCTGCCAGAAAGCCAATGCGGCTTCCGTCGTCATCGTGGTACCACGGATATGATCTTCGCAGCCCGCCAACTTCAGGAGAAGTGCCAGGAGATGCGGACCCACCTGTACTCTACCTTCGTGGACCTGACGAAAGCCTTCGACACGGTGAATCGTGAAGGACTGTGGAAGATCATGCAGAAATTCGGCTGTCCGGAGCGGTTCACTCAGATGGTACGTCAGCTGGACGACGATATGATGGTGCGAGTTACGGACAACGGAGCTGTCTCAGAGGCATTTGCAGTGACCAAATGCAGCTGCGTTGGAGCGCTCACCTGGTGTACATGGACGACGAGCGACTACCCAAATGACTCTTCTACGGAGACGTTGCGACGGGTTCTCGCCGTCAAGGAGGCTAAATTCGGCGTCACAAGGATACCCTGAAGCCCTCCCTGAAGCGTCTACAAATCAACCCGACCAACTGGGAAGAGCTCGCACAAGATCCATCGACCGACCTGGAGGCGGGCAATGAAGACTGGCGCTGCGATCTACGAGGCCAACCGCATCACTGCCGCCAAAGTGAAACGTGAAGCCCGCAAATCACAACTTCGCCCAGTACGCAACGCCGCCGCACAACCGCTTCCAACGTGTCCTCGATGTCAACGGAAATTCCGGGCTCGAATCGGACTTGTTGGACATCTCCGTATCAACTGCGCCTCTAGAACTGCACCAACCATCGTCCCCCAGCCCGCCTCTTCCTCGTCCTCTCTGCCGCCAATTAACTCTCTGAATTCTTCTGAACCACCCCTTCCATCCTCCTCCTCCTCTGCCCCAACGACGGTCCCAACGGCGGCCACTCAGGCAGCCGTCTCGCACATCACCAAACCCGACACAACGACCGACACCACCCCCACCTCTCCCGACTCCAGCGATGAGGATCAGGACTACACCTGCCCTCACTGCGACCGAAACTTCACCTCACACATCGGCCTGGTCGGTCACTTGCGAATCCATCGCGCAGACACTGGCGAACCAGTGCCTGGAGCACCAACCTACACCCACCGCACTCGTTTCCACTGCCCACATTTCCCTCGCACCTTCACGCATCGCATGGGTCTATTCGGCCACATGCGCATCAACGAGAGCGGAATTGACCGCAATCCCGACACACCCACCACATCCAACACATCCACCATGCCCAACCCCACCCTCGCACTATCGCCCTGCGCGCCCATCTCCACCTCCACCGTCTGCTCTGCAGCTGACACCGACACCGTCGATCTTCATGCCCACACTGTCCACGCACATTCACCTCACGCATCGGCCTGGTCGGTCATTTGCGAATCCATCGCACGGAGTCTGGAGAACCAGTGCCTGAAACACCAACCTATACCCACCAAGCTCGTCTCAACTGCCCACACTGCCCTCGCACCGTCAGGCATCTCATGGGCCTATTCGGCCACATGCGCATCCACGACGACCTGCGGTAGACAACTGCCGGTTACACCACACATCCGCACACTCCTTACCCTCCTTCATCATCACCACTACACATCGACATTCACCCACCTCAAGCACCCAACCGCCACCTCCCACGCAAGTGGAAAGTGTGCATCTCGACTCGTTTCCCATGCGGCTTCGGCTGCAGGGGTGACTTGAGCCCGAGACTATCCCGACACGTCAAGCGTCGTGGATAGGAAGGTTGCTGATTGACGCCCGCTCTCGGTTCACGTAGTTCGTCGCGTTGTGTGTGTGTGTTGTGTGGAGTGGCGGACTAGTGGGCTGGGGACGGGCTGAAGCAGTTCCTTCCACGGCCCTCTCACGCAAGTGAGAGACACGCCGTTTAACCCCCGTTGTGTGAAATCCTGGTGTTTGTGTGTGTATGGGGGCCAGGACGTGCTGTGGCGCGCGCAGGCATGGTCAGTCGACCATGTCAGCCACCGCGCCCATCTCCCACTCCAGTCTGCTGACCGGCTCGGACAGCGGCCGTGGTGTGGGATGGGAAGGGAGAGTGAGGTTGACGACTCAGCGCACTTTCCTCACTATAAACAATCTAACGCGCTTAAAGCTATCACGATGCGCTAAAAGCCGTGGCTTGGAAGGTTGCCAACTGACGGGGTAACTTGGATCTCCTCCTTAAATGGAGGCGGTCTGAGAGTCAGGCTGCAATGGCTCCTACTTAATGTGGTTTTTTTGGCACTATCACCACAGTGTGGGATCCGAGCCAGGCGCTGGCGGCGCGCCTAGGTGCGGCTTCGGTCGTGCCAGTCTCCAAACTCTGTTGTGTTGGTGAAAATGCTGGTCATTTTTTGTGTGGACCAGGGGATGTGGTGGAACGCCAAGGTGAGGATCCGTCCGAGCTATCCACCTCCGGCGTCCCTCGTCTCTGGTCTTTTTGACTCTGTCTCGACACCGGACTCAGGCGGGGGAGAAGGAGAGAGTGTAGGTAGATGCAGCGCAAGTCTACTGGCACTATAACCCCTTGCGCAAGTCACCGTCCCTGCTGCTGCAGCTGTGGGGCACACGGTGGACATCGTCGAAATCGACGGCCGAACTGTCGTGTGTGTGTGTGGGCGTGCGTGCGTGCATGTTAGTGACACACTAAATGCAATAGTCTTACTAGCGACTATAAGCGCACTTTCGGACATCCATGTTTGCTGCCATCGTAAAATAGCAACAGGATCCACGAGCGACTGGCATCAAGTTTGGGAGCTGAAATCTGTGCTAAGCACAGCGGGATCAGGTTTGTCCCGAATTCTGTCTCTTGGGTCGTCTATCGAGAGAGCAGGCGTACTTTAGTACAAAGGAGATCATCCATCTAACCGAGGCACGATCTCACCTCAACCATCGCAACCGGAGTTGCCAACAACACCTCGTTTTGGTCTGAAACCTACTGACCAACAAGAGTAATCAGCCCTGAAACCGTTGACCAAACAAGTTATGCGAGCTCTATGCTGGGTACCTGACCGTGTACTATCTGACAGTTTGACTCCCATGAGTCTATGATTTACGTGAAACAGTCCTTTTCAGAGACGGATGTCTAGGTGACAGGTCGCATAACGCAAAGACAGGCTTTCGTGCGAATCATGTGATTCATCGTGACCTATTCAGACAGACCGGAGGTCTCTCAATAATTTACAGTCATTATCTAATTCGCTTAAGTGTTTCCGGACAAGCCTGACATCCACAAATACTTCCATTGTCATTATTTGTTGTTGGAGTTGGAACAGGAGAGTGACATGGCAGATAGATCCCATTACGGTTGAACGTCATCGACCGGTATTAATGAACCAAATAAAGGTGAGGTAAAATAAAATTCTACTAAGACGAAATAATTGACACAAGGGGATGAGGCATAGTTTGTCCATCGCAGGCGATGTGGACCATCAATGCCACGGATATCCTGCAGGAGTGACTTGCGAGTAAAGTAACTCGGAGTTAGGTGAGCTGGCAAAATTCCGGTTAATAGCCACAAAGTGATGACACGGAGGTAAGTTAGGCTGGGCCAATGCTTGCTGAAGAGAGCTACCATTGCATATATTATCCGATGTCGCCTTTCCAACCACCCAAAATAACAACTAAGTCATCGTCGAAGTGTGCGCATTTTTGCCAGGCAGATATGCATAAAGGTGTCAATTTAGCGATTTGAGTGATTCTCTGGTGACTTTCGTCCTTTTCCACAACTCGGAATTCGGCTCGGTTATTGTGGCACTCTAAGTACTCTCACCGCTTAGATGCTGCAGATGAATGCGTACGCGGGAAGCCTTTGGTCCAATCATTTGCCTGCTCTCAGGAGGTGCAATAAATTACGTGCACTACTGAGTCATTAGTCTCACGGGCGTCGCTGTGAGGGTCGTTGCACTTTAGTTCAGCATGCTTGGCAATCATCCTGTAGATTCTTTATTTAGTTCTTAGAAAAACCTGCATTGGCAGCCAGCTTACTGTGTCAGAATCGATAGGTTCCATAGGTTGCAGCATGCTGGTCAGGTAACTTAGCCTAAATGTAAAAAAGTCAAGGCTCTCTGTCGGGAACGTGTTTTAACAACTGGGTATTCAGTTAAATTATCCACAATATGGCGCCGTCTTGAATTCTGTAATTGCTATCAGCAACTAACTGCCGCTTGTCTACTTCGTTGCAACGTTTATAGCCCTTAACCATGCGTCCCTATGGCAAATGCTGAAGCCAGATGCTGTGCTAACAGATGCCACTGCTATGGTCAGGGCCGGCTATCGCTTCATCATTGCGTGTTCTCTTTCCCAATGATCCCCTTTCCGACGGCCAAAAGCTTGAATCCTGTCGCACAACCTACCTACCGTCGCCACTGACTGGATTCTCGGACGGGACTTTGCGCAGCACTGGCAATGTCGACTTCCAACTCGGACGGCGATTTGTCAACTTCGACTACTCTATCGATACCACTCCATGAGAACGTAGATAAGGTGGTACCATCGATGGATGAAGTCAATAAATTAGTCGGTTTGTCTGTGGATACTGAAATAGATACGGTGTATTGTGCTCCGTTTCTGCGCAAAGAAAGGCACCCCTCGAGCTTAGCCATTGTGAAAATGAAGAGGAGGATAGCTGCGAGTACATCGGAACAAGGCTGTTGCCAAGTAAACAGAGTAAACATGATAACTATAAAGCACGCTTGCGGCCGTATTAAGTAGACGAATGTGTACTACCGTCTGCACAGGGGGGCACCAGTCCCTTAAAACATCACGAAGTGCGCGGGCATGAATGATGGCGCTTTGTAAAAGGAACGAATGGTGGATTCCTTCGTAAACTTCTGTGCAACGGTCATTTATGTGCCTCCACCTTCGCCAAGACACAGGAATAGGAACCCCTTCAAATGCAGGTGGCTTTGAGATAAATTGCAGGGAAAGTATGTGTACGGTTAGGGTTAGTGTTCGTGCTAGGTTCTCGCCAATTACCGTAATAAACAAGCTGCTACAGAGATCGACTACTATTAAACATATTTTGGCTAGATCGCAGTTGGTAGCCTGGCCCTGTATTACAGATGACAGGGGTTTTTCTACTGGGGCTTTTTGTGGGGCTACATTATCTTCTCTGATCCATTTGGCTTCCGTTTTGCGATTTCGGTTAGGATTACGGTACCGGTTAATGGTGTACGGTTTTCGGGTTAGGGTAATATCCTTTAGGCTTGGGTTTTCGGGTTGTAGTTAGGGTTTGAGTTTACGATTAGGTTTGAGTATTACGGCTTGGTTTTACAGTTGGGGCTATGTCTAAGGGCTACGGTTACGTTTACAATTTAAGTTAGGATTAAGGGTTAACGTTTAAGGTTCAGGTTAGGGTTAGGGCTGAGGTTAGGATTAGCGTTTAGGTCGCCGTCCGCTTCCCCATTCCTGGCTACCAACTGCGATTTAGCCCATATTTTCTAAATTTCACCGATCTCTCTATGGGGGTCTGTTATTTCAAAGTAATTCGACAGACAACCATGCACTGGATTCTGGAAAGGACATATTTTCCCCAGAAATAACCCGTCCTGCCGGACAATAGGATGAATGGTCCTTATCGGAAATGAATTTAAAAAAACGAGAAGTATTCATTTTGACTTGCCGATGACTGGAATCGTCGGTTCTGTCTGGCTACTGAAGAAAAGAACTTTTGTGCAGCGACTAGCCCACGTTCGGTTGACGTGCAAAGCCTTGGTGAAGTATGTAGCAGGAACAGTGTTTATGTAGCAAAGTATTCGTGGGTTGGAGAGGGCTCTAGAGTCTAAAGAATAAAAAATACAATGTGAAACATTTGCCCCACACGGAGGAATAGGAAATATCCAATGTGACAGACTGTTTTCCACTACGCCTGTTTTGGCATGGAGACGAGTAGACAAGTGGTATTTGTTGCCCAACGATCTATAGCCAATAGATGGAAGGCAGCAGGGGACCGTGCTGTTGTCGCTAGCTTTTTTCACAATGCCAGCTTCGAAATAGGACACGATGTTGTAAGTCTTTCTACGACATCCAGACTACGTCCATCCAGAAGCCCAAGAGCTGGCCAACTGTTCCACCACGGATGAAAGCCTCCACTTACTCAACTCTTGCCCAGACTACGTCGCTCGAATAAAACTCCTTAGAAGTTAATATTTGGCAGACCTGCAGTTTAGGTAGGTCATGACCCCACACTCGTAGAATACTATTCCTGGTCTGCGGGTACTGTACGGTGCTTTTGTAATTGATAACCTACTCTACACATAATGCATGGAAGGTCAAAAAATGCCCATATTCATTGATACCGAATCTGATTGACGTCGAATCCTCGGAGTCTTTCCTTGGAGAGAGCGGCAGAAAGAGATTGCTCAATTTACATATCCAGTTGGTACTGAATTAAGTTAATCTAGTTGCCTCTTTGAGATAACAAGGGAGGAAGTTATAGTCTCCTCTAAATATACGTATTCATTGAAAATTAAATACTGACATCAAGAATATCCTCTGTGATTGCAGAATTGGATAATCTGACTGTGACATGATGACCAGGAAGCGTAACCCATCGGGTTTTTCCTCACACTGGGACATTTCAATCAAAATACCAGCTCAGATGTCCAGTTGGAGAATTAATCATGTTGCAAATCTTTGAATCTTGATGATGATGCGAGTAGGTCCATTGAGACTTGCGACTAATGCTTTAACTTTCGTTGGTACCGACAAACCAACGACTATACCCATTACTCGGATGGTGGTTAAGAAATTATGTCAGTGCCGATGAGATGCATTACTATGTCGTTCTCCCTGAAATGCCACCAAAACTCTTTGCTTACCAACAGCGTGCCAGCTTATTCGCGAATTTGTGGAATCCAAAATGAACCTCGTCCGTCTCTCGTGAGCGATTTGGTCAATCGGTGGTCACACGCTGTCATCCTGTTTTCAACACAGCTTTTATGGTGTCGTTGACAAATCGGGTTTATGTCTCGGCCCTTCTGGACGTATATGATACGCAGGATGAGACATCATGCAGAGGGTCGCAGATAGCCTACAGACGTGTTCCGAACGGCGGCCTACATGTTATTGCGAGTGACTGAAACACCAGGTAAAACTAATTTGTCAGGAAGCTATTTAACAACTGCTTCATTCATGGATGATTTGGCACATTTTGACTAATTCATATAGACCCAATTGGGAAACAGGTTGGGCGCGAAACTTGACCCAAATGTAGTTAAACTCGCGTCGGGCGGCGCGGCCCCGTAGCTGAAGTAGTTAGAGTGTTGGCTGTACTAAAGCCTTCCCCTTACTGTGTGGGTTCGAATCTCACCGAGTCGCCGAGTTTTTCACAGTTGCGTCAATATGAACTGCTCCATTGTGGGAATTCGCTGCAGGAATAGAGAGAGGTCTTCCGACTCTGCACTGACATGTCTGCAGGACTATATGTCACTGCATAAACGTCGGGTGATTACTAAAACCTTCCAGAGGTCATCGAAGTCTAGCATATATGTAAATGATATGAATCTTTAATCATATTCTACTGTCAGCAATAGGAAAATCAAGCTTTTTAGTGCACGGAACCTCCTTTGGTGACCAAGGTAATTTACTCAGCGCTAAAAGTGTCGATGTCCCAAGTAGAGACTAAAATACTGTACTTACCACCCTGCTTCTTTGGAAATAAACGTTTTGAGGGGACTTCTTGCGTCCTCATGAAACAAATTATTCCTTTGGTTGACAGATTGAAGACGATTCCCAAGAGGAAGCACAGGGGAATATAGCAGTTGTAAATCACACCTCTCTTCATCTGAACGGACGCAGAGGTGAGATTGTCGCACAGGAGTGGTTGATGTTTCTGTAGACGCCGCCTGAGCGTGAGTTTAAGTAACCGCCTCGGTTAATGGGTTCATGCGATTTGACCGTTGAATTGGCACAGCTACGTCCCCATATCTTCTTCTAGAGGCCCTCATTTGTCATTCTGAGCTGCCATCACATGGAGTGGCGGCATAAGACAAAGCTGGCGTAATTACATAGGCAGGCACGTAGGTGTATGGCCCTAGTGCAACCGTTCAAATGCTGACACTGCTGCCCTAAAGCACTTTGATCTAAGAACACTAGGGACCAGATTAGGGAGGAAAAAAGAACGCAAGGGCCGTTTCGTAAGACTCTGTTGCTAGGCGCCATTCCGATTATGCTACTGTTCCAATAAATATGCCAGTGAATGAGGGCTCCTACCGCCGACATCGGTTCGCGTTTTCATTTTCAAAATCTGCTGCAGTAGATCGGACAGCGACTGAATCCCATGACGAACTCCTGATTAAAGAAATACGGCATCCTTAACGAACACCTTATTCTACTGAATAGTAGAACAGCCTGATGAAACACGCAGCCAGTGGAATGTCCCAGAAACTCATTTTCATGAAACCTAATTGTTAGGATAACCGACATGAATGTGGATCTAGACGATAATACTTTTGTGTAGAACACAAGAACAGATACCCATCTCCAGTGACCAGCCTCGACGAGATGCATAACAAGTTTTGAGTGGACCTGCATTTCCTTTTGGCGACTGAGTCGACGGCGAGCCAGCCAACTGACTTTGATGACTTCCGTGTTCGCGTCGGAACATACGGTATGTGACCTTACACTCATGAAATGTGACGGTGGTGATTATGGTGATGCATCCAAATCCTTGCGCATTTTTAAGTATTCGTTTGATCAGACCCGGAAAACATTCTTGCATGTAGGATATGTTTGTAGATAAGTTTATTAGACAAAATGTTTGCTAATTTGAGCGGAAATTTAGGTTACGTTATATTCGGGCAATTTCGCTACTTAATAGGTGTCCTAGACTACTCCTGCAGATTCATTGCGCGTTATTCTCTCACAGCAGACAAGTTTAACCTCGAGAGTTTTTCCAAACAAAACTTGCTGCACTTAGAAATTTATTTTTTATTACAAATCAACTTAATTGGGATGTGAACAAACATGTCATCATCTAGGAAACCAGATGTTTTACTGATTTTAAAAAGTCAGGTTTGTAAATATGCAAAAATAACGCACATTAGCAGTCGCTCGTTTAAACGTGCCGACATTTTCCTGTCATGTGCAAATACTTTATAAGTGCATGTGTAAGGCCCATCACGGAATAACTGTCAACTTTTTAATATATGGCAAGATACTCTGTATATGGTGTAGTTTCCGCTAATACGTAACTTAAAGACACAACGGGTAGAACATTAACAGTTTTTTGCAATATCTCGGTGTTTATACGACTACGCTGTTGTACATTTACTGTTAAATAACGGGACCTAAGGTCGGCAACGATAACGAAATTGGCTCCGATATAAAGCGAAACGTTACTTCCTTCTTTTGTACTAAAAAACTGTCAGTGTTTTTCAGGAAACTGGAGGACCAGTCAAGTGGACAAACTTCTTCCTTGCGAAAAGGTAGAGTACGGGAAAATCCGTCGAAAATACACCTTATAAAAGCGCTTTTAAAGGATTTACTTATAAAAGACAGTTCTTCATCTGATTCAAAGCATTTAAATCGCCGAAATTCGCTGCGGACGTTCCATTTTTCTCGGCGATAAGATTCCATTTTTCGATGGGTTTACAAATATGACCCAAAAGGAGATCTGCATTGAAAAACTGCTCAGAAACTCACCCTTTTGGTAAATCCCTTCTACAGATATCTTATTTTAGAGGCGTTGATAAGCACACAGTGAGGAATTTATGTTTATCAATCAATTTGGAAAACTGAAATCCTTAAAGTACTCATCGACACAACATAGACACTCTGAAGCTCAATGGAATCCATCGTCATTATCAAAGACAGAAGTTTTACGGAAAGAAAGCCCTCTCGACGTACACGTAAGGGTGAAATTATTACTGCATGTGCTAATTGTATGCAAATGTATTAGTTGCCGACCGACCTGTGGCCATGTAACTTTATCTAGACGTCTCTATCGGCGAAATTAAGCGAAAATATCTTTGTTTTAGTAAACCGCATCTCAAACAATGCAAAAACGGAAAAATTATCGATTTCGAGCAACGGGAACGTGAAGCACATGACCGGACACTGCGCCTTCGTAAAAACGGAAAATATATAGAGTATTCTCTTAAAACCGTTTTTGGATCTATACTAAAAGTCTAGGCCGTTGACTAGCCGACATACTTGACAATGCACCAATTCTTGGAAGATATGTACAACTTTCGGTGAGGCTTGGTCCTGCAGCCCTACTTGATTGATACCATGTGCTTAGATTACTAAAACAATTTTAGCTAACATGCCTAACTTAGCCGCTCGCTGGATTAGGCATGGCAAGAGAGCACAAGTAAAGATCGGAACACGCGTAGGGAAGCGCGTATGAATCACTGCTTGGTACAACCGAAAGTGACATGTACACATTCCCCGAGACAGCCATTCGCTGGATTAAGAGGATAATGGGAGTGCAATCAGAACTTGTTGGCTACGGAGAGAACTGGGTGTCAATTCGCAGTGCATAGTCACTATAGTGGACCTGACGGAGTTCCAGTCCGTCCGAACAATACCTTTAGCAAGCCTGCTTAGCCACTCGATGGATTAAAGCAGCAGAGGGAGCAGGCAGGGCGCGAAGCACGCGAAGCACGCGCAGGGAAGCGCGTGTGAGCCGATACCTGTTGTGGACGAGGATGGCGTATGAGGTCTCCCTATCAGAAAAACAGTTATCTCCAAACAACATAATAAATTTTCAATATTTCTTCTGTAATTCCATTCCACTTAAAATCCTCTATTATTAACGTGGAGTTTTTGTCAATATATTTGGTCCGGTTTCCGAATTATTAGAAATGGTTCGTAAATTCATGTGTTAGACTACCTACTGTACCATACTGCCTGGAAGGTTAGTGCTGGATCGCATGGTCTCGGTGGCGGTAACAACAGGGATCTTCTTCTGCGAACCTGTGCGGAACACCAGCGCCTGCTTCCATCTTCCGCCGCGGAAAAAGCAGCGTGGATGCCCGCGCACTCGCGGCACTGGTGGATGCTGGACCACCTCGTGCATAGGAGTGATCACCACAACGTCCTAATGACAGAGGAGATATGTGATGTCGAAGTCTTGACGGATCACTGCCCCCATTATCCCAAAAATTAGGCTGCGGATTGTAACAACATGAAGCACTTCCCTGCCTCCATCAAGGCGGTCTACAGTCGCCGCACCACAGAGACCACACCGTTGCTCATCACTGACGAAACAACCCTCCTCACGGAGAAATCGAAAATTCTGAAAGGCTAGACCCAGCACTATAGAAGTGCACACTATCGCCCATCCACACTCCCTGATGCCGCCATAGATCAGCTTCTCCAAATGGAAGCCGATACGGACCTGGACCTTCTTCCTTCCCTCCCAGGAACCATCAGAGCCGTGCAAAAACTCTCCAGCAGGAAAGAATCTGGATCCAAAGCAATTCCAACCGAAGTCTACAAGCATGACGGCCCACAGCCGATAGACGGACTCACTTGGCTGTTCGAAGAGACGTGGCGGCAAAGGCGAGTCTCCTAGAACTTTAAGGATGTCACCATCGCACACATATACAGTCTCACAGACAACTGTCAACTCCGCCATAATCACCGAGGCATTTTCATCCTTCACGCTGCTGGGAAAATCCATGTCCCCGTCCTCCATAATCGTCTCAACAGCCACCTCTAACTGGGAATCATCCCAGAAAGCAACTATGGGTCCTGAATGAACCGCGGCACAGTCGATATGATCTTCTCTGCCCGCCAGCTACAAGGAAGATGTTAGAAAACGATGAAAAGTCTCTTTACTACCCCAATCGACCTGACGAACGACTTCAGTTTTGAGAATGGCGACGGACTCTGACGAGTCACGCTAAAATTCCGGTACCAAGAACTCTTCACGCATGTGGTATACCAATAGAATGCTAGCTCACGTCACTGACAACAAGGCAGTCTCAGAAGCATTTGCAATGGCCACTAGGGTGAAGCAGGTTTGTGTACACGCTCCCACCTTCGTCAGCCTCATGCTCTCCTCCATGTTGATGGACACATGCTGGAAATAATATTGCCCAGCTGACCGAAGGACAACTGCTGTCTATCCGACATATGCAAACATGCTCATAAGTATCTCAAAATAGCATCCACGACCTGCCGTTCGCGGATGACTATGCACTCGATACAACGACGGATAGACTTCTTCTGGACTCCGACGGCGCCAATTTCGGACAGACAATGACCACAGAAAGGACTGTGGTTATACATCAATCGACGCCAGAAACGCACTGCAAAGAACCCACATCACCGTCAATGGAGCTCAACACACAAGTGCGGAAAAATTGGCATGCCTTGGCAGCACAATCTCGCGGAATGACAGGACTGACGACGAAGTGGACCATCGGATCTCCAAAGCCAGCCAGAAATCTGGCCGGCTACAGGCCTCAATATGGAAACGGTGACGACTTCGCCTGAAAATGAAGCCCAAGATGAGCAGGGAAGTAGTCCTAACGACAGTACTACGCGGGGCGGAGCCATAAACCCTATATGCCAACCAAGCCAGGACACTGACCCATTTTCACCCTATTTGTCTCCACAGAATATTAAGGGTGAGGAAGAAGGTCAGGTTCCCTGGCACGTGTGTCATAAAACGGACCGAAATCCTCAGCATTCACGTTAGACTGATTCAAGTACAACTGCGCTGGAGCGGAAGATGGTTGCCTACACAGGCGACTCTTTTACGGCGACGTGACTACTGGTAATCTCTGACAAGGAGGGCTAAAGGTGGCCGAAATGACGCGTTGCTCAGGATCCGTAGGTTTGGAGAAAAACATTGAAGACTGGAGTAGCAATCTATAAAGCCATATGGATCTCCGCTGCCAAAATCAAGTATCATCTCGTAGACGTCAAGTACCTCCGACACGTAATGTCAATACCCAAGCCCTTCCAAAATCTTTACACTCTCAACGGACATTCTGCGGGGGACTCGACCATTCCGAAAGTCTTCGGATGCCGTACATCAGCAACACGGCTAATTTTTTATGTCGTTGGCCTAGAATGTCCGCCTGCTCTAGACACTGCCCCCACGTCACCCCTTACTGCAAGCGTTCGACACCTACGACGATTACGGCCACAACCACAGGTGAGCACATTCGCGAGACTGTCACACACTCCGCCGTCGCCGGCGACCCATAGCACCAACTTAAATCATCACTGCCGCAGTCCCGCGGCGATGGCTAGCGTGAATATCACTCCTTCCACTCCCATCATCGGTGGGAACACTCCCGATGCCCTGCCACTCACCCCCACTCTCACCATCAGCAATGCGAACTCGACCTTGCGATCTCACCTCCACACCATGCACCGGCCTCGTCAGTCACTTGCGATTCCGTAGCACTGAGGCTGGCGAACCAGGACCAGAAGAGTCAATGCACGTCCATCGCACCCGCCTCAACTGCCATAGTGTCCACGGTCATGTAGTCACTGCATGGACCTATTCGGCCATTTGTGATTCCATCAAAATCTGTAGTAAAACACCGCAGTACAAACCCATCACCACAGATCTCTCCGCCAGCCGATACATCAACACAAACCCATCTCATATTATTCATCAAGACAAAACAAGCACCTCTTACGCAAGTATAAAGCGTGTTCCTGGCGCAAGCCGGTACCTAATCCAATCGTGTTTGGCACGCATAAACGGGTTGTTTCAGCTACGTCAGCCACCTCGTCCAGTTCCTGTACTCGATGGCTGGCAGGCCCGACTGTGGACTGGTGCGTCGAAGAGGAAGGAGAAGATGAGGGAAGAGAGAAGATGGGCGCCAGTCAGGATGAGAATTTATTCTGTGCAAAATAATGAAGGAAAGCTCGCAGTCGGCGCCGCGAAAGCTACGTCTACCAAAACGACGTCCCGTGTGTCGCCGAAGCCTGCTGCCGCAAGTGTGTGGGCTAATTGTTTATGCCGCTGGTCTAGAATGTCCGTCTGCGTTACCAATCAGCGAAAGGGCTTCGTTGATTGGCTCCAAGCCCACGCAAAAAACTTTGTGGTTGCAGAAAACCGTCGGACAATATGGCTTTAGGGAACGATGTCGTCCCTGCGCTGTGCTATTTGCTACTGTTTTTCCACTTGTGCTGCAGAGTGAGCCTGAGTATCTTTTAGGGAGACTCGGTTACGTTATGTTGCCTCGACATGAAAATACCATGGTTTCTGACGAAAGACATTTTGGTCTCGGATGAGATGAAGACTTTCAGGTGCGCCTACGAACGAAGTGATCCTACCCGGAGTACTTGCTGATTTCGGCAGCATATGACAGTTCGATCATCGCAATCTACGGTGTCGACTGTGCGCCCTAATGAGCATGTGGGACACTGGTGATCTGCACGTGGTCTAGCTTATAGTGAGATGGATTCTCCCTCCATTTCCTCATTCCCCTTGCTAAGATAGCAAGAACATGTCAAAAGGACTACGTGTGGACGCGGACACAATTTTTGACAAAACTAAACAGCCCGCCTGTGCGTGTCACACCCGGCCTGGTCCCGAGGTTCCAGACTAACATTGGCCTTTAACAGTCTATTTGCATTTCCTAAACAGTACTGGTTGTTTGAACTAACAAATTTAAGGCTTAACGCGTTTAGGAGGGGCCATTGCAGCATGAATTTGGGTTTTTCGGTCGCTACAAAATACTCCACGTGGACATATCTATCCAGTTAAATGTGGTTATGTAGCCCCACCTGATGGACGCAATAATGTTGGGGCTGGGGTTGTGGGTTAAGGTTAGCAGTTAGGGCAACTATTTCTCAATCATTCAAAGTACAACCGCGCATTCCCGATAGCTTTTCTTTTGCATTCAACGTGACCTCGTCGCCGGTGCTTGTCCCGTTCCCACCTGTAAAAACCCCCTATTAAAACCGGTCTCATAATACGGGTAGCTGGGTTTTTTTATTTCAGGTGGGGCTACATAACCACATCTGACTATTTAATCCCGTCCAGCCGTCGAAACCAAGAGTCCTCGAGCATAATCGTAGATTCCAGTGCGTCAGATTGACTACAGTAAGGAATGTACTGAAACCTCACTCTTTCCTATCTCTCTTATGCTTAGGAAGTCTGATGAATTTCATTTGTTCTTGTGGTTTGACCATAATGTAATTAAGACACTGCTCCTGGCCGGGGCCTCGTATTTTAGAACGTTAGGCTTCAAGCCCTACAATTCCTGTCGTGGTTTTGAATCCCACCGAGGCTGTCGGATTTGCTACTTTAGACATAATGAAAATTGAGGTTTTTCCCGTCTGCGCGACATGGTTGATACCCCCAACTTTGGATTCAGCCTACGAACTGTCGCTTGGCATCCACGCATTTACGTTTACAGTCGTAGACCTTGTTTAATTTCTGAGGAAAGTAATGTGCGAACATAGAGTTCATTCTTCTGAACAGATATTTTACGCACGGTTCAAAGATTGATGGGAAGATTTGAGCTGAAATTCATCAGCTACTGCGCAATTACCGTGTAATATTCGCAGACCGCCAACAGTCAGCTATTACCTGTGTTGTCAGTATGGTAAATAATTATACGATTGCATACTACTGGCTTGTGAATATTACGGGGTTGCTGCAAAGTGACTGAGGCGCTTCAGCTCAGGTATTCATATCAAATTTCGCACCTCGCCTAAAAAAGCCTGCTCTGAAGAATTGACTCCATGTTCACGCATTAATTTCCTCGGAAATTAAACAAGTCCCGCACCTTGGCGCTTCACTCCACAGCCCCTGGTGCACACAGCAAATGACCAGGTTTTTAACCAACAACAACAACAACAACAACTGGGGGCGACAGAGGTCCCAGTGTGCGCGACGTCTGCCGGCAACCGGGTCTGCTACCGCGGCCCGAAATGTTGACATTTTTTTATGGTGTGCAATTCGATAACGTCCGCCAGAATCCGACATCGACTCCGTGTACTCCAGCATATTTACCACGTGGCCTGCTTAGAGTAAATTTATTAACATACAGTGCGTTAGAAATAAACAGGTAAACTCTCAGGTTCGAATAAGCTGCTCCCAGTCCTATTTTTTCTTACAAAGGCCAGTTTTAAAGATCCAACTATGATCTTCAAATATTCATGTGGGCGAGCGATGTTTTGGCCTTCATAACGACCTGTGTAATTCCAAAGACGAGTACCTTCGACGACTGAAGTCCATTTAAATACGAACAAGCACAGAGTGACGTCACAATTATATGGAAACAAAATATGCAGTCGTTTCTCACAAGGATCTTTATGGTCCTTTGACGTTGAGAGTTTTTTTCGCACACACAATTTGCATCCACGTGATATTTGCATGGGATTGCCCCTAGCCAGTCGGGTAGGTACTCTCCGTATTAACTTACACGTTTTCTGGATTATTCCAAGTAATTAACTTGACCAATTCCATGCCTTCCCAGAGGTCAATACCAGTTAATAACACTCAAACTTTTAGCCACTAGCCAATCAGGTTAGTCTTCGTAAACTTATCTTACCTTGCACGTCTTTCGAAGTTATTTAAGGCAATAAACGCGTTCAGCTATTGTCGACGGATCAATCACATTCTAGATTTATTTCAGTCTTTGCCTCTCCTGAAGTACACAAAACCCTTTCCCTGCTTAGATTCCGCTTGCTTTTTGTTCAGATGTCTGGAATCAGTTACATTTTTGAAGCATTCCCACAAATGTCGTGCCAATCTTGCCATCAATAACTGTACCCTCCTCGTCTTGCAAGGGGAAGTCATTGTAGACTTGATTTTTTTCCCGAATCAATAGCTTTCATTGTAGTGCTCTTTTGTGTTTCCAGAGTACACAACGTATCCCAATACTCTGGAATACGCATATTTCAGTCCACCCTTCGTTAGTGCTTAAGCACTCGAGGACTTCTCAGTGGTGCATGCCTTTCTAGAGATCAATACCAGTTGGTTGCACTCGCACTTTCCTGCCGAAGAAAGCAAAATCGGCGGTGAGACCATCGGAAGTGGACCCGCCCTCGGTGGACCCCAAGCAGGCGATCCATCTTCATTCTGTTCATACCATCGTTCTGTGCTCCTGGCTGCTCTAGTTATCCTCCATACTTGCAGCTTTTTTGTCATTTAATTAATCATGCAAATGGCTAAATCCACTCAACATTCCCGAATGAGCGACCTTCTGCATCTCATGTCCGTACTACACGCTGTGAACCCCAACACCACGGTTCCAGCACCAACCTCGAATAGGCTTGGGCGCTTCAGAAAATATTTAATTGCCTTACGGACCCTCTTGTCATAGCCTTGATCTCTTTCAAAGATAAGTGATAAGTCCACACTGACACGAAGGGTCCTGCCTTTTGCAGAAATCAAAAGGAATTTACTGAGAGAACTTCGGATCCAGATGCAACACAGCAAACGGCTTGCATCTGCAAGCACTCGACGACGTGGGTATGTGGATGCAGCTACAGCCAACCGAAGGCCTTGATGAGGGACCAGCAAATAGAACGGTCGACAGTAGCCAACTCGAAATTCGAACAACATCTTCAACAGGCCAGCCTATGGACGGGTACTGAATTATCTTATCCTTTTTTGAAGAGAGCGCGGGCAGAGTCTAATCTGCCCTGAGCAACGATTGTACCGAAAGACGCCTTGCGGAAAAGAGACTTTCCACCGTTTGCTGGTAATACCTGTCAACTATTAACACAATTAACACAGCGCGTCCACGGATCAGACTAGCCGTCTAGCTCAAATGCTTAATGATCGACTAACTCGGATTCCAGTCTCAGACCTTGGATCGATGTATTGCTTATTGACGATGACCAACAAACCAAACGCGACCATTCGAACCTCCTCTTCTTCGTGACACTACTTCGCAATTATTGATCGCTATTCGCGACGTAATCACCTGAGAGGGCTTTTGGCCGAGTTCTAGACGAAAGCGGAATAGCCCGCCTCTGCACTTCAATCGCGGGTCAGATCAGCCGATCCCAGTTGTGGGTAATTGTAAATTAAGGTTTGACAGCGAGCTGGCGCTCACAATCGAATCACACCTTTCACTCTTCCTATTTCGTAAGAAGACTTGCAGTCTTCATTTTCCGTCCCCCGCCAGGTGGACAATTCCAGTTGGTGAATAATGAGACAAGTTTTTAGGATAGAACTAGGGGCAGCAGCTGGGATTGGTACCTGTGCCTAGTGAATAAGAAAGGCGTTTTGTCTTGCTCGTATCCTAATCAATCACCCTTCATCGATAAAACCACGCAACCTGAACAACATCGACTAGAGAGAGAGGCATAAAAGTTACATTAACTTTCAACAATGTAGCATTCAATAGTTGCAAATACTCGGTTCTCAACAAAAAGAAACGACGAAGGGATCTTTTTAAAAGTAGGTATATAAAAATATCGTTTGAATTATTGACTATTCCGACCAAAATAAGTTATTTTATTCCTTGTGTGCACGCCCGTGGGCTTGAGTGTCTGCATTTATCCCGTCGCAGGAAGAAGCAATTCTGCAGAGAAAGCTGTTTGTTCACACCTAAGTTTGCAGATTTCATAACCACAGGAATTCAGGACTGAAGTGTTGATTCAATTTTGGTCGCATTTTTTGCGGGGTATTCTGCTTTGGGGAGCCGAATAAACCGCGACGCGAACTCGATCAGATACATGGTTTCTGGGCGTACGTAATGGAAGCTAATATGCCGAAGTGACGTCGGAATCCTCTAAAAAAGGCAAAGAAAAAGATTAAGGAAGCAACTTTCGCAGCACAAAGTAGAAGAGGTCCCTAATGTCGGTGTGTATATGGCCTGACACTCCCTACTGAACATCTCGGGGAAAGTCTTCGCTCGCATCCTCCTCAACATTCTTAACAGATATCCGGAACATGGACTTCTGCCGGAAAGCTAATGCGGTTTCCGCCGTCATCGAGGCTCCATCCACATGATTTTCGCCGCCCGCCAACTACAGAAGAAGTGGTAGGAGATTCGGACGCACCTCTACTCATTCTTCTTGGATCTGAGTAAAGTCCTCGACACGGTGAATCGAGACGGACTGTGGAAAATCATGCAAAAATTCGGCTGTCCCGAACGATCCACTCAGACAGTGTGTCAGCTCCACCATGACATGGCAACGCCCGTTGCAGACAGTGGAGCTATGTCAGAGGCATTCTCAGTGACCGACGGAGTGAAGCGGAGCTGCGTCCTCACGCACACCCTCCTCAGTCTCATGTTCACTGTCGTGCTAATAAATGCTTGCCTTGATGAGTGCCCCGGGATCAGTGTCGCCCAGAGGACGGATGGCCAACTCGTCAATCAGCAGCAGATGCACCTCCAGTCGGATGCATCCATAACTGCCGTCCAGGAACTTGTCTTCGCCTACGCCTGCGTTCTCAACGTCGCTACAGAAGGGGAAATGCAAAAGAGAATGGACCTCTTCGCCGTCGCCCACAACAACTTCGGCCTGGTCATCAACACGGAGAAAACGGGGGTCATGCACCAACCACCCTCCGAAGCTGCATCCAGCGCACTCTAAATCAACATAGAGGACGTTCAAGTGCAAGCCGTGAACAACTTCACATACCTGGCAGCACCCTCTCTCGGAGCACCAAAATCGACCACGAAGTGGGCCGTCTGAGCTTTAAAGTCAGTCAAGCCTTCTGTCGCCTGCAGAACAGCTTCAGGAATCGTCATGATCTACCCATCGGCACCAAACTGAAGATGTACAAGGCAGTCATCCCACCGACGCTGCTGTATGCAGCGGAGACCTGGCCGGTGTGCAAGAATCAGGCGCGGAGACTCAACCACTTCCACCTCAGCTGTCTTCGGCGGATACCAAAGCTGAGGTGGCAGGACCGAATTCCGGAAACGCACGTACTGGAACGGACGGGATTCCTTAGCATCAGCGTCATGCTGAGACAACTGCAACTGAGCTGGAGCGACACCTCGTGTGCATGAACTCCGAGCGGCTAGACAAAGGGCTTTTCTATGGGGATATCGCCACAGGTTTCCGTCGGCAAGGAGGTCAATGTTGGCACTACAAGGATGCCCTGAAACTTTCCCCAATGAGCCTGAAAATCAACCTGGTCAAATGGGGGGACTTTGTTTGGGACCGACCAACTTGGTGTAGAGCAGTGAAAGCAGGCGCAGCAATCTACGAAGCCAACCGCATCAGCGCCGCCAAAGCTAAAGGCGAAGCGCGCAAATTTTAATTGTCCGCACTTCGCAAGGCCAACGATTAACAGCTCTCGACCTGCACACAATGTTAGCGGACATTCGGGGCACCAATCGGTCTCACCAAACACGCCGTCAGCTAACTCTGACCACCCTCCTGAACCACCACTTTCATCCCTCTCCTCCACTGGCTCAACATCCGCTGCGGCGGCTCAAGTACCCACTATCAATGTACACAATCCTGACACAGCAACAAACACCAGCACCACTACCGTCGACACCAGTGGTGAGGACTGGGTCTATACCTGTCCTCATTTCGATCGCAATTTCATCTCAAGCATCTGTTTGGTCGGTCATTTGCGAATCCATCGCACAGAGACTGACGAACTAGTGTCTGGAGCACCAACCTACACCCGCCACATTCGCCACCAATGTCCACGCTCTCCTCGCACATTCATGCACCGCATGGGCCTATTCGGCAACATTCGTATCTACGAGAGCTGAACTGACTGCAACCCTGACAGACCCGGCACACCCACCATGCCTAGCCCCATCCCAAGCTCCTCAAGCCAGCACGCCCACCGCTACCTGCTCCATCGCATTCAGTACATCTTGCACACCCACCATGCTCAGTCCAATCCACACCCCGTCACTCAGCATGCCCACCAGCTCCACCATCAGCGTCACCGAAGCTGATACTGACACCGCCGAATTCTCATGTCCACACTGTCCCCGTACATTCACTTCACGCACAAAGACTGGAGAACCAGTGCCTGGAGCACCAACCTACACTCGCCACATCCGCCTCCACTGTCCACATTGCACCCCCACACTTATTCACCGCATGGGTCTATAAGGTCACATGCACGTCCGCGAAAACCTGCGGAAGACAACCGCCGGCTGCACCACACTATCACATCTTCCCCTACCAGCATCTCACCGCACATCAATCTCGCCTACTTCAAACACCCAACCGTCATCTCCCACGCAAGTGGGAAACGTACGTCTCGGTCCCTTTACCATGCGGCTCCCTTGCTGCATGTGGGATCGGAGTCTGGGACTGCCACGGTGCGTCGAGCGCCGTGGCTCGGAAGGCAGCCTACTGACGTCTCAACTCAGTCCACGTCGCCCGTCCAGTTGTGTCTGTATTTGTGTGGAGTGGCGGACTGTTGGACTGAGAGCCAGGCTGAAGCGGCTACTTCTCCAGTGATCTGTGACACTCTTGTTTATGTGAGGAGAGGGTGTGTACTTTATGGTTAGTGCCTCTCAGGCGATGACTCAGTCGAAGACTGTTTGGTTACCTAACCTTGAAGGGTGACGGTCCAAGCTAAGGGCAGAACCACGTGTCGCCCTTCTGGGTCAAAAGGTCTGGAAGTGTGTGCTATGCCAGTACCAGCAAACCATGGCTCTCGCAGCCTGGTATGCGCTGGCAGTTCCCTGCCCCTAGATGAGCTTGCGCTTCGGCTAAGTATACAGGTGGTGGGCATGGCTGCCTGCTTATCCCCGTCGTTCTGGCCCCTGTTGGGGTGTTGTAGTTGTTTTTTGGCGAAAATTCCTGGTCAGTAGCTGTGTGAACCAGGGGGTGTGATGCTACGTCTAGGTGCGGTTCTGGCCGTTTCAGTTACCTGCATCCTCTCCCGCTCCCGGTCTTCTTGACGCAGGGTTAATGTGTGGAGGAGAGGGTGCGGTAGATGCAGCGCAAGTCTGCCATCACTATGAACAAACTCGCGCGCTCCGCCTCGCCATGAAACATACGTCGAAATCGACCGTGTGGCCTGACAGACCATCCAAACTAAGAGACACAAATCACAGACTGCCCTCGTTACACAGATCAGAAAACTCATGTGTTAGCCTATAAAGCGAGAATGAAGACTGTCCTTCAGTAAAAACAAAAGAAAGGATATTGGCATCCACTCACGTGCCCTCTGAACGGGGCGCAGCTAGCTACAACAGCGCAGAGGCAGATACTGCTTGCATGCAGGTGACTAAAGTTATTAGTTTTGTGTGACTTGCTTACTTACTTTGCAAGTGATGACCTAAAACGTCAGATTTTGTGAGGTGTTAACCTGCAACTTTAAAATCCGAGCATAAGCAACCGGGTTCTATTAGGATTTACCGCCGTGAAGCAGTTTCGTGAAGTTTCAAAAGATGGGCCTAGGCAGTGGACCTCGAACAATGTAATGTTTGCTAGCTTAACAGTCGATCTTGTAGTGGTACAGTGTGTAGTTACACATGGACAAAGGCGGTCTCCTTTAGCATTACAGAACCAGTTCTGACGCACTCAAGAGCTTCAGAACCCTACTGAAGTCTTTTTTCCGCCTATATGTTTCTTCACTAAGTTTAGGATGTGTTTGCATTCCGAATTCCGATGGTACAATCTTGAGTAAACTCTGCGTTCACCCGAATTCTTTTTAAATGCTTGTTGGGACATTGTGAGCTAAATTAGATGAACGTGACCAACACACGTTATCTCCATGCATTAGTGTTATTAAAAAGAAACGTACCCATAAGCGTAGACTTTTGTCGGTAACCGAAGATGCAATTCTCGAGAGCCACCTAGTTCTCACAAATGCTGATTCCGGACTAAGCCAGTGGAACTTGTTTCTCGACAGATTGTCGATGGCGTCGTAGAGCTTTACACCAACAGCGACACCACAGACACCTATGAGATAATATACCAAACATGAGTAGAGGATAGACAAGCTGAACCATGGAAAGTACGCTAGGCAGTCGACTGTGGAATCTTCAGGCTTATTCTAGTCACCACTTGTGCTTACTGGGCGTCGCAGAAGATAATCTTAATCAAAAGTGGAAAGTTGGATAGACGGCGTCATTGCTTTTGACTTATGAACCGGTTGATGAGTTCAACATAAGAGCAATGCAGAAACAAGCTCAAAAACAGGCTAGGTGGAGAAACTGTTCAGTCAGCTTTGTCTTACGTCTCAGTGAGCGGCTGAATGAACTCCGGTACCAGTGCAGTAATCGTGTCAATGAGGTAGCCCCTTCAACCTGGAAGACTGTAGTCGGCTTGAAGAGGGCGTCTGTGATGCCTCTTTTTTCACTGTTGACCAGATTTCCCCGTCTCGACCGCCTCCGGCGGTATTTCGCTGTTGACTCGTCGATTATCGACTTTGGAGTAAGTCGAAGGAATAATTTTATTTTACACTGCAAAAAGTCATAAGAGATAGAGCTTTTCCCAACCGAATGACCGATTCATGCTCGTGTAACCTATTCCCTAATTATCGCGAAATTTCTTCCGATAGATACAGAGACAGCTAGCACACAGAATACGTGTAGATGGCACCCACCTCCCCCCTCCACACCGGTCCCTTACGTCCATAATGATAGGTACATTCGTACATCAGGACATGGGTAATCGACTTGCCAGCAGGGGCCGACGTCAGATAAGCGAAAGTGCTGGAGAAAAGTAGTCAGTGGTCATGACGAGACAGAACGCTACATATGGAGCAAAGGAATGCATCGCCTGAAAGGAAGGCGGCCGGGTGTTGATGAGGGTGCAGTGACTGGTAAGGCCGAACAGTCTGTCTACCCGTGCCACACACGATCTGGCCCCCAATGCGCGTACTGGGCCTTCATGAAGCTGACTCGAACTTCACGCGCGTGAGAGGGCCATAAAGGTCACATTGAGAAGGAGCCATTGAGCCTGACTCTGGGTTCTGCGGTCATTCCAAGATGATCCCTGGGGATGGAGTTAACCTGTGGGTTGGGAATCCTCGAAGTCACTACTCTTAGTGCACGGGGATGTATTCAAGCCCGTCAGATTTTGGTAGCAATGAATGCACTGAAGTGTCGTAGGGATGAATTCCCAGTACAGGCCTCTTCCGTCGCTCAATGCATCAGTCGGCTGTCCGAGCCTATCTGCCAAATGCTAATCGAATGGGGCGCAGTGGCTGGCAGGGTTACATTGCAAATATTCTTGCGTCACACACGATCTGGTGATCAGGGCTGCATTAACGGCGCGCTTCCCACTTACATTAGATGCGCATTTGCGGTCATCCGACGATTTGTCCGATATACCGTCGTTGAAAAAGTGGATCGCGCGATTGTTGCGGTAGAGCGGCCTGGATGTATGAGTGTGAGCACCATAACCGACCACCCAGGAGTTGCATCGAGCCAATGTGGGGGCTAGATGGGGCTACGACCGGCCTGTGCACCCGCGACACATTAACAATCACACGCTCGTTCCTGAAACAGTTTGCGCATGTATCTGACTCCAGCGATGAGGATCAGGACTATATCTGCCCTCACTGCGACCGCACCTTCACCCCACACATCGGCCTGGTCGGTCACTTGCGAATCCATCGCACAGAGACTGGGGAACCAATACCTGGAGCACCAACTCACACCCACCACACTCGCCTCCACTGCCCACGCTGTTCTCGCACCTTCACGCATCGCATGGGTCTATTCGGCCACATGCGCATCCACGAGAGCGGAACTGACCACAATTTTGTCACACCAACAACGTCCAACAAGTCCACCATGCCCAGCCCATCCCTCGCTCCATCGCCCTGCGCGCCCATCACCACCAACACAACCACCGCCTTCTCTACAGCTGACACCGACACGGCCGACTTCACCTGCCCACACAGTCAACGGACATTCACCTCACGCATCTGCCTGGTCGGTAACTTGCGCATCCATCGTAAAGAGACTGGAGAACCAGTGCCTGGAGCACCAACCTACGGCCGCCAAGCTCGACTCAACTGCCCACAATGTCCTCGCACTTTCAGGCACGGCATGGGCCTATTCGGTCACATGTGCATCCACGACGACCTGCGGTAGACTACCGCCGGTTACACCACACATCCACACACTCCCTACCCTCCTCAACCATCACCACCACACATCAACACTCACCCACCGCATGCACCCAACTGCCACCATCTACGCAAGTGGGAAGTGTGCATCTCCACTTGGTCCGCATGCGGCTTCGGCTGCAGGGGTGACTTGAGTCTCAGACTATCCCGACACGTCAGGCGTCGTGGATAGGAAGGTTGCTGATTGAGGCCTGCCCTCGGTCCACGCAGTTCGTCGCGCTGTGTGTGTGTGTGTGTTGTGTGGAGTGGCGGACTGGTGGGCTGGGGAGGGGCTGAAACAGCACCTTTCACGGCCCTCTCATGCAAATAAGAGACACCTGGTAGCAATGAATGCACTGAAGTGTCGTGGAGATGAATTCCCAGTACAGGCCTCGCTCCTTCTTTCTTCGCTCATACATCAGTCGGCTGTCCGAACCTCTCTGCCAACTGCTAATCGAATGGGGCGCAGTGGCTGGCAGGGTTAAATGGCTGGTATTCGTGCGTCACACACGACTTATTGGCAGATGGATCTGTCGTCACATCCAGAAGTGCTGGCATCTGTTAGCTGAGCAGTACGTTAACGCCTACCAGAATCCGATATCGACCCCGTGTTGGTACAGCGCATCTTCCGCGTGGCCTGTTTGGGGGACAATTGATGACACCCTTAGATGTCCTGTTTAACTCTGCCAGCCACTGGCATTCAATGACTGACCAGCTAGAACCTTGGACTGGTGCTGGAAAGAACGAAGAGGAAGTAGTCTAAGGGATGAGACGAGTAAAATCGCCTCTTCAGTGCTGGATAACAAATGTCCCTCTCATCCTGAAGGTGAGAATAATCTTTTGATACTTAGGAGAATCCGGTCCCTCCTCTCCGCCCTGCACATGAAATTCTGTCGCGTCCGAACTGGCCGCAGTTAGAATGGAAATCAACATTCATCGGAGACAAGATCCCATTAGGTTAGCTTGTCTGAAGTGTTGCGATCGATCGTGAAGACGATTTTTGGAGAAACCAGTCTTCAAGTGTTGAGGATAGGACTGAGACGCATTGCCTTTTTTGCTGTAGATGAAAAGAAGGCGATTGTGAATGAGCCACAGACCTTAGAGATTGTTTCTCAGTACATTCTTCCCAAGCACTTGACTGGCAGGTAACGCAGACGTGCATGAACGTCTCATAGCGGCTAGAGGGAAAGTGCTGAAGTCGCGAGCGAATTTAGTAAACAAACCGTCTTAGATATCCCGCAAGACATGAGATAAGCAGAAAGCTAGCGGTAGGATAAGTTTGCTTCGATGCAGTTTTTCTCTGTAAGATATGTTTGTGTAGTCCCACCTGGTGGACCCAATACTGTTGAAGCTGGGGTGAGGGTTAGGAGTTATGGTTAAGTGTTACGGTTAGGGGTTAGGGTAAGAAGTTAGGATTAGCGGTTAGGGTTAGGGGTTAAGGGTTAGGGCAACTATATCTCAACCACTCAATGTACAACCGCGAATTCACAATAGCTTTCCTTTTGCATACATCTACTTGATTACGTCGCCACCTCAGACCAAACTCCACTAACACACATTGCCCCACGAGTGCAAACACCAAGCATGAGCCCATCCCAGATCATTCAACGCAAGCACAGAATAGGTACTTCTCATGGCAGTAGGAAGCGAGTTAATGGCTCCTTCTCCAATGATTTCTCATGCATGCGAGGTCAGAGTCGTCAACCTCATTTGTATGAAAATCTGGTATGATGAGCGAGGGTCGAGCTCAACCGTCACATCCGGCGATGTCTACCGTGTGCTCCACAGCGAGCTGAGAGAAGGGACAATGACCAGTGCCTGAATTAGCTTATAGTAGGTATAGATTTTCGCGCAACTACCGCACTCTCCCCCCCCCCTCTCACCTGAGTCCAGTGTCAAGACAAAGCCAAGAAGACCGCAGGACGGGGGGGAGCACAGGTAGATGGCACGAACGAGCCTGCAACTTGGCGCTCCAGTCCACACCCCCTGGTCCACACATAAAATCACCAGGATTTTAACCAAAAGCAAAAATGGGGGCGGCAGAGGTCCCAATGTGCGCAATGTCAGCCGGTAGATGGATCTGCCGTCACATCCAGAAGTGCTGGCATACGTTAGGTGTGCATTACGTTAACGCCTACCAGAATCCGATATCGACCCCGTGTTGGTACAGCGCATCTACCGCGTGGCCTGTTTGGGGGACAATTGATGACACCCTTAGATGTCCTGTTTAACTCTGCCAGCCACTGGCATTCAATCCCCGCATCCAATGACTGACCAGCTAGAACAATGAACTGGTGCTGGAAAGAACGAAGAGGAAGTGTGTCGACTCTCAAGGCACATCTCTCGTTATAAAGAGTCTGGCACGCTTGAATCTAGCACGGTGAGTTAAAAGCCGTGACTGGGAAGGCGGTTAATTGAAGGCATAGCTCGATTCCCCTCTCAGAACGGAGAGTCAGGCTGGGATGGCTCCTTCTTAATGTGGCCTCTACGGCAGTCGCACTCGCTGCTGCAAGGTCGTCAAAGTGTCCTTGGGGTGTTGCTTTGGTCCACCTGTCTGCAAACACATGTAAGGAAGTCTCCATAAAATAACAGATTGGGCAGTCCCTCGTCATCCACCCTCACGATGGTGTCACTCCAGCGCAGTTTTATTTGCCTCAGCAGGACGGTTTTATCCAGCATCACATTGTCAGGCTTCCTTTCCTGTCACTTCACTTTCGGGATCTCCGGGCACAGCTGGAATGAAAATGAGTGGGTCTTCACGCCTCGCCCTTATTGACAGTCCACGTATTCGATCCGTATAAGAACACCGTCAGGACAACAGCACTGTGAATTCTAGTTATGTATTAAGTAGAACGTCACGTCGGTTGCAGACTTCACATAGACATAAGGCGGAACTGATGAAGCACTTTCCACATTTAAACTCTTAGTCGTCTTGAATGTCGCATTCCGCTGACGCTGAACTCAACAACCAGTCCAAGGGGTGAGACGAGTAAAATGTCCTCTTCAGTGCCGGATAACAGATGTCCCTATTATCCAGAGGGCGAGAATAATATGTTCAACGATATTTAGGAGAATCCGATCCCTCCTCGCCGCCCTGGACATGAAAGTCTGTCGCGTGCGAACTGGCCGCAGTTAGAACGGAAACTGAGATTCACGGAGACAAGATCTCATTGGGGTGGCTAGTCTGAAGTGTGGTGATCGTTCATGGAGAAGATTATTGGAGAAAATAGTCTTCAAGTGCTGAGAATAGGACTGAGACGCTTTGCCTTTTTTTGCTGTAGATGAAAAGAAGGCGATTGTGAATGAGCCACAGGCCATAGTGATTGTTTCTTAGTACATTCTTCCCCACTAATTGACTGGCAAGTAGCGCAGACATGCATGAACGTCTCGTAGCGGCTAGAGGAAAAGTGCTGAAGTTGCAAGTGAATTTAGGGAACAAACCGTCTGAGACATGCGCGAGACAAGATAGAAGCAGAAAGCCAGTGATGATATAAATTTGCTTTGAGGAGTTCCCATTTGTTATCTGAGAGGAAATTTTTCTCTTACTAACTCTCACACAACGACTGTTCTTGTGAACGTAGTTTTAAACGGAGCGAACCACACCTCGTATTATTTTTACAGGCTAATAGAGTATTTATCTTATCAACTCTGTTGGGTATCCAGCCGAGGTTTCCTTCCCAGCTAGAACGACAGATGATAAAAAACAGTAATGTCCTAACAGGACTCGTAAACTTCCATGGCCACCGAAAATTGCCCCTAGTGAGGTTATACTACTGATTGGAGAGGTATCAGGGGATATCTATGAAAGAATAGAATGGCCGCATGGGTCTTACTCATTTTCACATCTTCCTTATCCTCATCGTAGGTTGGACAGGTCGGGTGTATGTCGATTGCTTTCTCAACCAGCAACTTCAGTGCCCCGCGCGAAAGGACATATCCGGCGCCTCCAGAAAAGTAGCCATTTCTTTGGAATCTCTACAATAAAATAATTTTCCTGAAAAGTATGCTCTCGTGTTTTTTTGGTTTACTCTAGCTCCGCGGAAGAACACTCTGGGTGCAGGTTTAATAGATGGGATTTAGTCACAATGTGATGAAGCAATACGACAACAATGTTTGACATAAGTGCCTTTAAAGTGGGTAGTAACAATTTCAGTCACTTTTATTAATATCTTTGATTGCTGGTGATTATACAGTCGACAGCTCACTGAGCTCGTGACTCAATGATGCAGCGTTATACTCCTGAACGCTCAAAGAACAAGGAACAGGGGACCCGAATCGAGGGTCACGCAGAAATGATTGGGTATGGCTATCTGTCCACGGCTAATGAACCACAACTGCCCACTCTAGCCTCCCTTGCCTTTGTCCGTACCCCTTGGCTAATGCACATGTTTCAGTCATTGTAGTCTTACTGACTGCTAGCAATCCACGCCCATGCATTAAATGTAGGACCATGATAACTCTCGATTTTTACCAACAGATGCTACCAGTGGCTTTGACGTGCAGTCCCAAGGTAAAACTGACAGACCATGTTCCGTCTCATGTCCAGGATAGGTCGGTGTGTGTCGCTCCTGTGTGACTATCAGTCCCAAATTTCAGTACATGACTTCTGTACCATTGATATACGCAGTAGAAAGAGCGAAAGTTATGAGTAGAGGCCACGTGTTGAGTCTAGTTGAAGAACAACCAAAACGATATACCAAGTAAACTGTGCCAGGCGATATGCTGTACGTAAGAAACAACAGGAATTTCAATTAACTCCAGCACTAATTAAGAAATTGTTGAGCTCTTTTTTCTCTACGGGAGTAAATAGACCTGGTCAGATATTATGAGAGAAGCAACACGCATGCGCTCATATGGTGAGTGGCACCAGGCGTATGGGGACCGCGTCCTTTACAATCGCGTCTAGGTTTAAATGAAAATATTAACAGACTCTGCTCGGGGGTACATTTATCATTGTCCTCTGGTGGATGCGGCAAAAATCCTGTT